ATTTTAGGTCTCTACGTCCATCCCATGGGGAATGGGAGCAGTAACAAAGGTGTTGCGTTTATATTTTTGTTGAGTGTATTATACACAAATAGTCCTAATCTTATTTTTAAAACAATAACTTCAGCAATATCATGTCATTTCTGTTCTGAGCACGCTGCATAGAAATAATGTTGTTTGTTTGTCGTTTACTTCCTTGTATACCAAGTCCCCACCCAAGCCACAAAGTCTGGTTAAGCTTTGTGCTATTAAAAGCCTTATCATGCAAGCAAGATCAGAAACACTGCAGACATAACAAGAAAATATGCATTGCTTTCCTTTACATATTGAGAATGAGAAAGCAATGCTTAGCAGGGCTTTTTAAACGTTTACTGATATACTGGACAAAGTTTCACTAGTATCACTTTAGACCAAAATCACTTCCTGTAAAAAAAAATAAAAAATAGGAATGATATGAAACATGTCAGCTGTAGCCAGTGCTTGATGATTCCTCTTGCATTACAGAGCAAAGTTGGTGTTTTTTTAAATGTTTAAGTCCAATTCAAACTAATAAACACGCTCACTTGGCAAACTTGATGGGTTAATCTACTGGATCCATACTGCCCTCTATGTCGGACATGCAGGAGTGAATAGTGAATGAAGCTTGGCCCAGCACTCACATAAATGTCATTCCTGCTGAAATACAATTAGATAGAAACTCTGACCTCCGACACAGCTGCTTGTACCAGTAAACACAGGAACTGTAATGTTAATGCAGAGTTGGACTGACTAGTAATTGGGGCCAAGGATTGCTATTAGATGTAAGTAGCATTTTGTAGTGGTCCTGAACATTTAGGCCGCTTTCTGTGACATAGTAAAAACAGGCAATGCTATATGCTAAAAATATTTTTTGTTTAACTTTTTGTTTTAATATTTTATAGCTGATCTGTGTACATCAGGCCAGCTTATGACCGTTTCTTCTGCTTCTATTTAGACTGAAACCTCACCCGCTCTCGGTTATTTATTTTTTTCTGTGCTTCCTTGTGAAGGCAGAGCTTGATATATGAGAATAGGAAACAGACGTCGTTCCTCTCCCCACAGCGATGGTTGGGGGTCGACTTTGTTATCGTAGCTACTTCATACACAGCATTATGCTGCTTCTCTGGGTCTGCCTCCATTGTAAGTACACCTGTGCTTTCAGATCTTTGTGACGCGTGTATTTTGTAAAACTTGTATTTAACTGTGATACATGGTTAGGGTAGAGTGTGTAGGTCAAAAGTGCTTCTGCTTTTGAGAAGTGGCGTGTCTTCCTTAGAAGAGGCTTGCACTGTATTTCTCATGTGTGTTTCCAAATGCAGTATTACTAAATTCAGTGGGGGTTAAAGCTATAATAATAACATGTGCATCAATATTAAAGAAATATTTAAAGAATGTCATGTTATCAACCCCTAATTATTCTGAAGGTCAAAGTTTTCTCTTAATTAAAAAAGTTACACGTTCAACATGCTCAACATTTGTTACAGGTCTGTTCTCTCTGCTTGAGTATTTATAACTTTCATCCACTTGCACTTACAAGTGGTTTTGCATCTTTGCTACATCAACAGAGATCCTGCCGCTTCTGTTTGAAAATCAAATCAAACCAACTTCAGGATTTATAATTCTTTATCTTTCTCTTGCTTCTTGTATATTTTTAAGTGCTGGTTTTATGGTATGCTTTACCACATATTTATAACTGTATGCATATATAACTTCCTTTGATAGTAATGGAGAGAGTTGGACATTCTAGAAATTTAACAGAAATATATGAGTGGATCCAAGTGTTGCTTTTCTTCCATTGAGCGTAAACATTACAAAATGCTGCTAAACTACTAATCAAAGGTATTGTATTTAATATTGTAACCGCTTTTAACGAACACTTACTTTTTAACAGCAACATTTTTTTAATAATTCTGTGTTTTTCCATTATTATTGTTTTTCCATCTAGTAACAGCTACATAAAATTAATGTTATTGGTGGCATATTATTCAGTTACCTGTTTAAATTTTAGTCACCTGACATATTTTCCTCATTCTGTGATACATTTTTTTAAAATTATCCAAATCTGGTATTTTAGCATTTTTAGACAAAAGAATAAGGTTGGGGGCAATTTGGTCTTGGTTTTTCTTCACTTACTTTTCATAAATATTATACTTGGTATTTATTTTTATTTTTTCAGATGTGGAGACTTCCAGTGGAAAACATGTTATTTATAAAAAAGTTGGAGATACTGTGGAGCTTTCATCAGGCTTACCAACTGAAGGGGTGACTGCGGCAACATGGAAATATGGAGAAATAATAATTGCAGACAAAGTCATTGAAAACAATATGGGTGTTTCTAAAAGATCTCCATTTAAGGACAGATCAGAGCTAAACCTGGAAAACTTTACTTTAACAGTGAGGAAATTGACTCTTCAAGATTCTGGTGATTTCATTTTTGTCTCAGCAACAAAAGAAAAACAGAGGGATTTAGTCATCATCACTCTGCAAGTTCATGGTAAGATACTATATAAATATAAATTTATATGTAATATTATTATTACATTGTAGATTGTGGTGGATTTATGTGTGACTCTATATAACTATATACACTATATATGTATCTGTACTGAACATATATATTTCAACTTTCACGTAGAGTCTTAAGCACATGGTTTATTAAGATGGTACAGTAACAGGGCAGTTAATGTAAGGGGAGAGTTCTCCTGAATAACTCACTCTCCAGCTCCGGTAACTAACCTCCCCCAAGTCTTTCATGCAGCACAACCAAAACAGTAACACTAAACAGAGATCCTGAAAACATCACGATTTCAGTATCATACGATATAATCACACACACACACACACACACACACAGACACACACACACACACACACACTATGAATCTACACTTAAGTTTTTAATGTAGTTATAAGATTCTATATTAAAAGATTGTGCCACTCACTGTGTAAGATTTAATAATTAGGATTAATGTGCGATGTTTTACCGTGTCACGACCTATTGCAGGGGTGCCGAACTGCAGGCCTCGAGGGGACTCTGTCAACACACCTGAATCACATGATTAGTTCATTAGGCCACTGCAGAACTTCAAGATATGTTGAGGATGTCATTTAGCCATTTAAATCAGCTGTGTTGAATCAAGGACACATCTAAAACCTGCAGGACACCCGCCCTCGAGGCCTGGAGTTTGACACCTGTGACCTATTGTGATAAGCCAAAGCCAAAGGGTAGCCAGAGTCCTGACTGGCCACTGGCCAGGACCTTGGCTGCTACCTGACCCTGCAGCTGTGTTTGGCTGGAGGACGGGTGGGAAAGTTATCCAGCAGCAAGGGATGGGGATACAGATGACACTCCAGCACTTTTTTTTACTACTGCTACTTCTCCATCTCTGTGTTACTCTGCTGTCTGTGCCTAAGGCTGTACACCCCAGAGTTTTGCTTTGCTTGCTTTCTGCTATGTAACTCTCTTGCTAAATGTATGCATGTATTTTTCCTGCTGTTCATATGATTCAGTGTATTAAACTCTGTTCCAAGAATTCTAGTCTTTTTGAGTGCCTTGATTTCGGATCTAATAAAGTTGGATCTCGACATCGTTGGTGGGAGAAGGTTATCAGGATGGCTAAAAAATTGTGACCATAAGATACATACTGAAGACATGAAATATATGAAGCAATATATATGGAATCATGTAGGAAAAGACTATTGTCCTGCTAAACTACTTATCACTGTCTCCCTCTGTCCTCTTTTTTTCTCATTAGAGGCCATAACTAAACAGCCTGTCATAAAAATCAGTTCTACCTGGATTTCCTCAAATGAATCATGTAAAGTTCTGCTGGAGTGCAGCACAACTGGTGATGTCAGCTACAAGTGGACTGTAGGAAAACAAACACTAACTGGTCCCAGGCAACAATACATCATCAGGGAGCAGGATGGAGAGACCAATTTCACCTGCACAGTTTCCAATCATGTCAGTGAGAAGTCTGCATTTCAAACAGTGAAGTGCAGCAACAGTGAACAACAAGAACCAGGTAAGTGCAGTGTACATATTTACTCTTTCTTTCTTTTGATGTTTCTTTATATGCTTATAATAAAGATCAGCAATGATGTGGTAGAAACTGTGGAAGAGAGCTGATGTATTTATATTATGCTGATGATATGCTGATATTTTTATTTAATTATGGGCTGCTGTTAACGAACAATGTGATAATTTTCAGAAAAACACGTGTTCCTTTTCCTGGGTGTAGCTGGTGGCTGTTTGATACTTGTCATTATATTCAGTGCAGCTGTGGGTGTTTGTCTCTGCAATAAAAGACATGCAGGTAAGAAACTATGATTACTGTTTATTATTGCAAGGTTAAGTTCTTCTTCTCTTATCATGTTCATTAGTAAAATATGTTTTTAATATACAAATGCAAATAATATGCAAAATTATTATTTATCTATTTTTTTACAGATCTGTGTTGCAACAGGTTAGTGCAACTAATTAACAGCAGTAATGTACAAAAATACTTTTGTTCTACTGATAATAACAACATGCTTTTATTGCATGAATATTAATGTATTTGAATAATTCCAGGCTCACACAGTCTGAAACTATCAACCAGGAGGAAAGTCAGCAACATGTGTACTCGGCTCTTTCCCACGGTCAGGTCTAACACTGTTAAATCAGTCACATTACACTGTTAAAGAATGATTAAATGTTAGACCATTTACACTTTATTATGATTTTTGACTCAACTGTTGCTAACTTGCAGGTGATCGTTGTGTTTATGAGACAATGAGAGGCCGTGAAGATGCTGGACCAGGTACAGTATGACAATGATATGAGGTGATATGAGGTTCTGCAGTACTTGTCACGGCTGTCGAGGCGAGCCGTGTGGAATTATTTAAGGACCCAAAACGCAGGTACTTCTGAAGTGAGGAGACTTTATTAAGGGAGGGGAGGCAAGAAACAGAACAGAGAACCTAAACTGGGAAAACTAAAAAGCAAACCTGAAGTGATAACCGAACGTGGAGAGGAACAGAGAGACGCAGGGAAATCACGCAGGGAAATCACTCAGGGAGCCAGAGGACATGAACGCAGACGAACCAGCAACAGGCAGGAGAACACACAGGGCTTAAATACACACAGCAGTAATCAAGGGGATGAGAGACAGGAGGGCAACACACCTGGGAGAAATCAGAGCTGACGGGACAGGAGAAACGTAACCTAAACACACTCACATGAGAAAGAGACTTTCAGAATAAAACAGGAAATTCGCAGACACAAAGAACTTGACAAGACACTGAGCTAAACAGACAGATTCACAAGCAGACCGTGTGACACCATAGACCAGGGGTGGGCAATTCCAGGCCCCAAGGGCTCGTGTCCTGCAGGTTTTAGATCTCACCTTGGGTCAACACACCTGAATCACATGATTAGTTTGTTACCAGGCCTCTGGAGAACTTCAGGAGCTAATTTAGCCATTTAAATCAGCTGTGTTGGTTCAAGGACACATCTAAAACCTGCAGGGACACTGGCCTTCGAGGCCTGGAGTTGCCCACCCCTGCCATAGACAGACAGACAGAGGGAACACAGAGACGTGGGAGAAGGCAGGCACAGAACAAAACCCTAACAAATGGCAAACCTTAAAGGATAAAACAGAACAAACAAGCACATACAAAAATATAAGGAAACACAAAACACTGACTCGTCAGACTCAGGACAATGACAGTACTGCACTTAGGTAATGTATTTTCCCTACCCACATTAGACTTCCCCATTGTTTTTGTGCACACAGGTCTTTCTATGCTTACTTCACTGCTGAAGATATTTTGTATTGCATCAATGCATTTCTTATCGGAACGTAACACCTCATCAAAACGTTTTGTACTTTGTTAGTCACAACTCACTTTCCTGACTACTGCCGAGCATTTCATTTCTGTCTTCTGTCAAATTACTTACAATTAAATTACTACGTTTTCAAACATATATATGAAAACCAGTAGAACGCTGTGAGTAGCAGCAATGAAACTGCCCTTCAATTACAAGAAACATAAATAAATATTTGAGAAAGAGGTCTCGTTGCAGCAAATACATACCATCAGTCTTGTGTCCACATAACTAAACGCATCAGCTACATGTATACACTACTTAGATTTAGCACGTAGTACTAGACTACTTTGGGATGTGGTTGAGCTGAAAAATCTACAGCAACTGTGTGATGCTGTCATATTAATAAAAAAGCAAAATCTCTGCAAAATGGGGAAAAAACCTTGCTGAATCTATGCAACTCTAGATCACTCACTCTTCTGAATATTATCCAGCTTTGCATCAATGTTTCTAATCAAATTACTTCAAACTTTTTTCAAACATGTATGAAAGAGCAAATACAATAACACCCTGGCAGATATTTACCTTTAACAAATACAAATACAAACTTGTGTCACAGCTGGAGTCTTGCCTGAAGATTTTCATCAACATCAGTCCTATAAAAAATAAATATGCCATGCTGTCTCATCAGATTGTCAACTGGTGTCATTTATAATGCAGCCACATTTTAACATTAAAGTGTTTAACAATGTGGCACATATTCTGCTAGGCTGTTGATTTTCCTGGAGAATTATTTTATTATTTTTCATCATATATGCTGTGGCAACACCTTTCTTGTTTTCTTAACTTTTATTGTGTTTGTTTTTTAGTTTAATTTTATTTCTACTTCACAGAAATTGAAGCCAAACCTACTCACAGAAAGCAAACAGCAAAACCAGCAGGGCATAGAAGATGATGAATCACAGCGATCTGATCTAAAGGAGCCACGTTCAGCTGGAAAGGAAGGAGAAGGAAGAGATTTAGCCATGTTAGACAGGGATTCAAACATCACCGGGAAACTGTTATTTGTTTTGTTTTGTTTTTAATTTTTTTTTTTTTTAAAAAGGATTTTGTGACATGTGATGTTTAAACACTTTTCACATCTGTATTTGAAACAACAAATAGTGTAAAATAATGACTTCTTGCTATTAGTCCAGTAGCACTTTATTTAATAAATACATTAATTGACTGATTAAGCACAGCACAGAGGAGTGTTATTTCAACTTATCTGAAGCCAGTTACCACAGTACTGGATCTGAAGTGCAGAATTTCTGTACTTTTCTTTGAGACTTGATAATTCATTGACACTGATGCTATTTAATCATGTTATCTGAGAATGTAAAATGAACCAGGAGACACCCACAAGAAGATAAATGAAATGCATTCAGCTGTACAAACAACATGATGCCAAACTTTGCAGAACCAAAGTTTAGGTACTCATGTATTTGTTTATGCATTAATATTAACAATACATAAACCTTAAGCAAAACTGATACCAAGAAAAAAGAAATGTGTGCAGGGTTTTGTTCAGAAACATTTTAAAACCATCACTTGAATCCAAGATGGCTGTTAGGAAACAATTACTAACTTGAACTGGTTCAGAAGAAAAAATGTGGTCATTTTAAAGATGAATAAAAGAAGGTGAAATACCTGTCATAGTAAATGTAGTTGCATTTTCCCAGAAAGAGACAAAAAATATGATTACCATGAATGTGTTCAACAGGAAAACCCAGAAATATACTGACATGAGAAAGGACAGTCAAACCACCAGGGGGCAATGTGGGACCTGCTTGGTGGAAGTTTCAATAGTCCAGGCACGCTTTAGCCTCTTGAAAAGTTGAAAAAGAAGGAATAAATAAAATTAAAATTTAATAAAAAAAAAATAAAAAAAATAAGAACATAAAATGAAACGATTACAGTTTGTCACTTTATTCTGAATCCTGCATCGGGTCCTTACCCCATTTTATACATTTACTCTTCAATATAACCCATCCCTCTAACAGGCAGGCAGACTCCTCCCTCTGATGATATGCTGCTTATGTGTCTTTTGGTATCATGGACACAGCCTCTGTGCCTCAGGTATATTTATGCTGTTGTTGTGAACCACTTCCTCTATCTGTTAGTGATGCATGCTGTGGGCAGTCTCTTGTTCCTCCTGATCGCCATTTGTCTTCTGGTGTGTCTGTAGTTAGTAGAACAAATTAAGAAAAAGCGCAATAGGATTATTAAAATGATTAATAATTAAAGCTAAAGCCCCAGGAAGCTTATTTACTGGTTTGTATTTTCTTTTTGTAATTTGTTGGTGACACAGACCTAACAATATATATTCCTGGTAGAACAAATAGCATAGCTTTTGCACAGAGGAGTTCCTGCATTTTAAATTTAAGTTTTGGTAATTTAGCTGCAGATAGTCAGATCAGCAGGTCAGCACAGTTAGACCATCATCTTTAAAATGTGTCTTGAGCAGGCTGATGGATAGTTTACTTCTTCCTGTGTTAAGTCCCCACACAAACCACAACCTACACTATTAAAAGCCTCATCATGCAAGCACAGACACAGACTGCAGAAAACAAGAAAACATGCATGTTTTCTTGTTATTCTCCATGCACAAACGTGCCCTTGTTTCAGGGGAAAGGATATTCACACACACTTGTCCATCCGATTCATTTTTATCCCTCTTATCTTATCTAATCTCATCCACTTTTGCACACTGTGATTCTCAGTATGTACATGCAGTATATACAAAGCTGTGCTGTTGGATATTCAGCAGTCACTGGTGCTTCATGCTTCCTGCTGAATTGTTAATAGATAGTGACTCTAAACTCTGTTACTTTCACATCTGATAAAGTAAATGACAGATTTTTCTGTTTCTGTGTTAATAGAAACCTCCCCCAATCAACACTCTCAGTTGTTTTTTCTGTGCTAACATGTGAAAGCACCGTTTGACAGAAGGAAACAGACGTCGTTCCTCTTTCAACAGCGATGGTTGGTGGTCGGTTTTGCTATCGTAGCTACTTCATGCACAGCATTGTGCTGCTGCTCTGGGTCTGCCTCTACTGTAAGTACACCTGTGCTTTCAGATCTCTGTGCCGTGTTGTATTTGTTTGCCTCATTAACTCTAAAATGAGGCAAACAAGAGTACCTGGAGGTCAGGAGCACTTCTCTTGCAAAGTGGAAGAGAAGTGATGTGTCTTCCTGGGAAGAGCCTTGGAGTGTATTTTTGTTGTTGAGTTTCTAAATGCAGTGGTGGCTTTAAAGCATAACATGTTAATTTTTATAATCTAATTAAAGGAACTAAAGGACTGATCGCCCCTTCTTCTGCTGTTACTTCCTGATTTTTTTTTCAGTGTTTGTTGTACGATATACTTTTAAACATGCTTATAGGCTTATATTGCTTCTCATACAGTACATTTCTATGCAGTAATTGTTTTGACAGGAATGGGGGTGTGGACGCGTTTTTGCAGACATCTGGATCTAAGTGTTGCTTCTCTTCTGTTTAGAGTAGAGATAAAAATAAAATATCTTAAAAAAAGAAAAGAAAAAATACAACATGTATTCACTAGAAAGGACAACGTAGCTGATTATAGTGCTATCAAAAAAGTGTGAGTCAGACATGACACTAGCAACAGAAGCATTTCCTGAGTATCTCCACCAGTGGAAGCAACGCTGGCCAGAAGTGATGAGCTCACAGCACAGAGGGCAGCTGTAACCTTTGCCCATGAATTCTTTGGTTTCACCATTTTTTTTCTTATTTCAAAACACTATAGCTTTGATCATCACATAGACTGTTGTTTTGTTAAAGTATATATTGTTATAAGTATCTGCTATTAATGACCAATTGAGTTTAACAGACACATGTTTTTCTAATCCCTTCCTGAAAGTTTTAATTTCCATAACTTCAATTTGTTTATTTTCTATGGTGGGTTTTTGTTGTTTCTTTTTTATTCATTTGTTGTGCTATTTATCCAAAAGTTACAAGATTATTATTTTTTTTTTGTCCATGTAGAAGTAGCAACATAAAAAATCATTAGTAGAGCCATGTTGTGTAATATTTTTTGCCATATTTGAATTTTAGTTATGCCAGGTCATTTATATCATAAATGTTATTTGACATAAGTTGTTGTTTTCATTCTATAAGTATACTTTTTTCCTTTTTTAAATTGTGTGTTTTTTTGTTTTTGCATTAAGAAACGCATTTTCGATACTATAACTGGAGGATAAGGTTATAGGCAGTTTGGCCAGTTTTTTTCTCACTCACTCACTTCTAACTCAAACAGTGGACTTTCACAAAGATATGTTTCTATATATTTCAGATGTGGAGGCTTCCAGTGGAAAACACGTCATTCATAAAAACGTTGGCGATACTGTGGAGCTTTCATCAGGCTTACCAACTGAAGGAGTGACTGCAGCAACATGGAGATATGGAGGAATAACAGCTGCAGACAAAGATGTGGGTGTTTTTGAGAAATCTCCATTTAAGGACAGATCAGAGCTGAACCTCATAGACTTTACTTTAACAGTGAGAAAACTGACTCTTCAAGATTCTGGTGATTTCATTTTTGTCTCAGAGGTGAATGATAAGCAAAGGCCTTCAGTCAGCATCACTCTGCAAGTTCATGGTAAGAGACTTTTTTTTTTTTGCTTGTTTGTTTTAATTCTAAAAGCATCCTAATGAAAAGAAACCCCAGTAGCTCTTTTTTAAACTTTCTTTCCTCTTGATTACTTTATTGATTAACTTGTGTTTTCGGTGCTTTCACAGTCACCTTAATGTGTTAATGTTGAATACTTATTGTGTAAAATACTAATTAAATGACTTTATTTTATATTTTGAACTTTATATTCACATATCTGTTTATTGATACTAATCCGTGTGAAATACAATGCAACAGTTTGTAATGGTTAATCAACCTCAGATTTTTGTTGTTGTTCTTTTTACTGCACATCTGTTATTGTGTCTTTCCAAGATTTTTTAGTAACTTGAAAATTAAGATGAAGATGAAATCATTTAGATATTTGCTCAAATAGCAAATCCTACTTGTTTTTGCTCATCATAACCCTAACCCATCATTGTTCTTGATTTGACTTTATTCTTGTCAATGTCCTTTATTGTGATGCTAGTGATGCGTCCATTAGGCATCTGAAGGTTGTGCAAAATGCTCCAGTGCGTCTTTTAACTGGAAGAAAAAAGTCTGAGCTTATTAATGCCATTTAATTTCACTGTCTTTAAAGTATTTAGTTTATGCAATTTGGTTTGTTTTTGAGCTTTTTTGTTTTTTGCATTTTTTTAGACCAGATGTTACCAACTAGCAAAGCAGTTAAAAGTACTTATCTGAATTTGTTGTTGTAATGTTAGTTATATATATTATTTTATATTTTATATAATACATTTTTAGAACTCCACATATACTTTAAGCTCTGACACAGACTCTCTCTCCTTCTGTTTTCTCATTAGAGCCCATAGCTAAGCCTGACATAAAAATCAGTTCTACCCGGATTTCCTCAAATGAATCATGTAAAGTTCTGCTGGAGTGCAGCACAACTGGTGACGTCAGCTACAAGTGGACTGTAGGAAAACAAACACTAACTGGTCCCAGGCAACAATACATCATCAGGCAGGATGGAGAGACCAATTTCACCTGCACAGTTTCCAATTATGTCAGTGAGAAGTCTGCATTTCAAACAGTGAAGTGCAGCAAAGATTCACACAGAAAAGAAACAGGTATGTGGAGAGTGACTGAGGTTGTGAATACATGTTCTGCTTATATAAGTAATTATTACTGTTTGTGATTTCAGAGTGCAGCTCTACGTCTTCTCTTCTCATGTTCATTGTTGGGCTGTTTACTGGTGTATTGATCACTCTACTGTTCCTCTTTCTGCTTTACTGCATAAAGTCAAAGGGTAAGATTTCTTGTTAATGCTACTATTAAAAATGTTCTCCTAATCTCCGAATCTCATAATACTTTCTGTTTTGTTTTTTACAGGTCTGTGTCACAAAAGGTTGGTGTCATGGTCCTGGGTTTGGGGCCCCAGTGTTTGTGTTTCTGGTGTGTCGTTTTATTTGTTTGTTTCATTTTAGCCCATATTCTTTGATTTTGTGTGTTTCATGGTATAGGCTTCTGTATTTCTAGCTCCCTATAAATTATCTTTAGGATTGTGATTTCTAGTCTTCAGGTTTTGATGCTGTGCCTCTCCTGTGTACCATGTGTCACATCGACTCAGTTATGTTCTCATATCTGTGTTCCCTCCTGTTTCCCATCCCCTCATTATCTGTGTCTATTTAGTCCTCTGTTCTCCTCTTTCTTCTTACCTCCCAAGTCCCAGTTTTTTTGTTTTTGTTTTTTTCAGGTCTCGGGTTTCTCTTTCCCAGTTCAAGGTTTTGTGTTTCAGTTTTCTGTATTGTTTTTCAATGCAGCTCGGCCTTATGTTTGCACGTGGGTCCACGCTCCACACCGTCTCCAACACAGACGTTACAGTTGCTGAAACTCATTAACAGCAGGAATTTTAAAAAATACGTTTATTCTACTAATAAGAATATGTTTTAATTATTTCAGGCTCACACAGTCTGAAACAATCATCCAGGAAGAAAATCAACAGCATGTGTACTCGGCTCTTTCCCACGGTCAGGTCTAACACTGTTTACCTGCTTTCATCAGTCATATTATATTCTTCAGGAATTATTCAATGTTAGATCATTTGGAGATGTTAATTATTGTGACTTTGACTGAACTGTTATTAACTTGCAGGTGATCGTTGTGTTTATGAGACAGTTAGAGGATCTGAAGATGCTGGACCAGGTACAGTATGACAATGATGAACCATCAAAGTAATAAATGGGAACTCTGGGATTTCAAGAATTTCATTTGTGACATTCTTAAACTATTCTTACTGTATTTCAGGTGGATCACAAATACAGTGCATCAAATCAGACTAGACGAGCTGCAGTTCTGCATGTCTGTGGTATTTTTTGGGTGCCTTATTTTAAATGTAATTATTTTATCAATTATTATATCAAATCATCCTATTTAACCCCCTCATGCACGAATTATGACAACCTCAATCAGGATTTGTTTCTTATGTATTTTTATGCGTCTTTAGGCATGAAAAGATGCATAAAAATACTTAAGAAACAAATCTTAAATGAGGTTGTCATAATTCATGCATGAAGGGGTTAAAAAACAATAATTACAATGAAACACGTCATACATCTATAGTGCATTAAACAACCAGTGGGTGGTAGGGTATGGAGA